AAATTGGTTTTCCATTAAAAAATCCATACACATTCTGTTTTGTGACATTTACTTCAATATCTACACTGTAAAAACATTCTTCCCTGTACTCACCCCTTCTCTTCATTCTTCCCATCCCCTCTCACCTTCATAGCTCTATCCCTGGAAAAAATGCTGTCCTCTTGATCTCATATGCTTACCCTGTGATTTATAGTTTTCTTCCCAAGTTTAGAAAGTCACTTCTATCTTGTAGTTGTCTTGATTTCTCTACCATCTAGAAGTTCTGTAATTACACACTTTTTCCCTCTTTTTGGTTTGTAGTTGTCCTCATTTGTCAATTGAGGTCTCTGGTTCCCTGTTTACAATCTTGTAGGCTTATTTACTTTGGATACTTCCGTAGCTGGGTTGGTTTCTGGGTTATATCATCGTGTGTGTTAATGGTCAGTTGTTGTTGGCTATTGTTGCTTCTCTGTCCAAAGGGTTCCCTTTAGCATCTCTTATAAGGTTGATGTGGTTTTAACAAATTCCCTTACTTTCTGCTTATCTGGAAATGTCCTAATTTCACCATCATATTTGAGGGAAATTTTGCTGGGTACATAATTCTTGGTGGGAAATTTTTCTTTTTCAGGGTTTGATATATACCATCCCATGTCTTCTCACCTGCATGGTTTCTGTTGAGAAGTCTGAGCTTACTTTTATTGGTTGCCCCTTATAGGTAACTTTTCATACCAGGAAAATTCTCTTCCAACAAATCTTCAACAATTTTCTCTGTGGTTTTATTTGTCTCTTCCTGTTCTGGAATTCCAGTGACATGTAGGTTATTCCTTTTAATGGTATCCCACATGAACCTTAGGCTTTCTTCATTTTGTTTTGCTCTTTTTTCTGATTGATCCCTTTCCAAAGAAGCGTTCAATCTCCCTAATTCTGTCTTCCATTGATTCAATCCTGCTCCTTTGCCCATTCAATGTCTTATCTATTTCTGAAAATTTAGTATTAATCTTCTGGATTCTTGTGTATAGATTTTGTATCATTTCTAATTTTTCATTTATTTTGTCGTTTTGTTCTTGTATTGTATTTTGAAATTGTTCTAGGGGTTCCTCTCTGTTTTCCTTGATCTGTCTCTCAATTCATTGAAGATACCTAAATACAATTTTTTTTAATTCCTTATCAGGGAGTCCAATGCTGTGACTTCCTCAGAGATCTGTTTTAACACTGTATCCTGGTCCCTTGTTTCTCCTGATTTATCTTGCTTCTTTGTGATGCTCTGTTGTCTCCGAGGCATTGTGACATTTTTGTGTTTATATTTAATTGGTGATTGTATGTTGGAGTGACTTGCCCACGATTTTCGTTTTCTTTGTTTTGTTTGTATATTATCTACACCAGCAGGGTACTGTGCTGTGCTCCTCTGTTCACTGGTTGACAGCACATATACACTCACCATCTGTCTCCTTTCCTGTTGTCAGCCTCTCATATGTCCCTGCCAACCTTGGCAAACAGAACCTATTCTTAGGTCCCTGGAATCCAAATGGGAATGCTATCACTTTAAAATCCAAAATGGTTGCAACTTGTAAATATTCAAAATGGCTGCACTCTGGGTCACTTTAAATATCCAAAATGGCCACCACTTGTAAACATTCACAATGGCAACACCCTCGTTCACTTCAAATATCCAAAATGACTGCCATGTGTAAACGATCAAAATGGCTGCACTCTCCGGATAGCAGAAAGTCAACAGCTCAGCTTGTCTCCCTCCTTGCTGTTTCCCTTCCTAGTCATAGGCCATCAGTGCAGTTGTCCCTGCAGACCTTGATGACCAGGGCTGATCTTTAGGTGAATTCTCAGGTCCCAACACAACTTGGAAACATTCAGGCTGTTGGTCCCATCAGAGTAGCTGACAGTCCACAGCTCCAACCATCTCTGTACTCACTGTTTTCGTTCAGGTTTTTCCACTAGTTGGTGCCTAATCCACTTTTGTATAGTTCCTTTCAAAGCTCAGGGCTCTAGGATTATCTTCTGTATCTCTGTAAATTGGTTTTTCTTTTCTTTGTTGAAGAGGGTCTGTGTCATTTATATGCCTATTCCTCCATCTTACCGGGAGTCCCTTGATCTCATAAGATTGATTGTTGCAATGAGAGCATACCCTCCTGATGTTACTGTTCACCTTATAGGTCTCTATATGGTTGCTAGTTGAGTCTTGGGGGTTAAGTTCAATTCCTAGCTTGAAGGGTGTCTAAGGGTCATAGTCTTAAGGGTTGTACCAGTCCTCATCAGGCCAGTAATCCTGGTCTTTTTTATGATTTGGAGTTTAGTTCTACATTTCCCCCCACTCTATCCAGGACCATTTTCTGTGATTGTTTTTAGTGTGGTCAGCAGTGGTAGCCTGGTCTTACAGTCGTGGAGGCTGGGGTTCACATGCTCCATTAGTCCTTTGGACTAATCATTTCCCTTGTCTTTGATTTTCTTCATTCTTCTTTGCTCCAGACAGGCCGAGACCAGTAGTTGCACCTTAGGTGGCCAATCACAACTTTTAAGACCCTAGTCACTACTTACCAAAGTAGGATGTGGAACTCACCCACGAATATATATAGACTTGATAGAGGCTATATCTACCTATGGGAGCACTGGTAGCATAGTGCCTAAGACTGGCAGTTCAAACCCACCAGCCACTCCTCAGAAGGAAGATGGGGCAATCTACTTCCGTAGTGATACTGCCTCGGAAACCCAAGGAGGGGTTGCTGTGAGTCGAGTCTGACTCGACGGCACATAACAACAACATATCTACCTATATAATTATTTCTTAAGAGTAGCTCTGTTTAACATCCTGCACACAAAATTCATGAAATTTTAATGATCAGCTTTCAAGAGCCAGAATGAATGACTGCAACACACCATTAAACCAAACCAAACTCACTGCCATGGAGTCAGACCCAACTCACAGCGACCCCTCTTTGGGTTTCCAAGGTGGTATCACAATGGAAGTAGATTGCCCAATCTTCCTTCCGAGGAGTGGCTGGTGGATTTGAACAGCCAGGCTTCTGGTTAGCAGTCAAGTGCCTTAGGCACTATAACACCAGAGCTCCTAACACACCATTAAGTAGATCTAATCCTTATCTCAATATAAATGGAAGGAGAGCAACAGAAGCTTAAGTTTTCAAAATTGCTTACCCTGAGTTACTCTACAATAGTTCACCTCTGATTTCAATCAACAATTAATATGAGAACCATTTAAACAAAGTGGATTTTTGCTGAAAAGTTCTGCCAAACATAGTGGATAGCACTAGGTCAGTGATTCTTTTTTTAATTGTTATTTATTTATTTATTTATTTACATTGTGATTTGGGTGAAAATTTACAGAGCAAATTCACTTTCCATACAATGTTTTGTTTAGTATGTATGTAATTCACATACACTTTGTCTTATGACATTGACTACAGTTTACCACATGCAACAGCTCCCCTCCCACTTCCTCCCCATAGTTACCTCTTCCCTGTGTCCATGCACCCCTGCCCCCTGAGCTGTCTCCCTATGCATAAACAGCCCTTCTTTCTCCCATGATTGTTCTCTCCAAGGAGTGTATCTACCTCAGGTAAGTGTTCACCTCATATGCTTGTCTTTTGTTTGGCTGGAAGCCACAAGTGTGGGTTCAATTCCAGACCTGAAAGGCAGCTAGGAGCCATAGTCTCAGCGGTTCCACCGGGCTCTATCAGACCAGCAAACATGGTCCCCCTTTTTATTTTCCCAAAAGTTTTTGAGTTTTGTTCCACATTGTTCTCCCTCTCTATCCAGGATCTCCTACATAGATCCCTCTCCAAGTAGTTGACAGTGGTAGCCGGGCACTATCTAGTTCTTCTGGTCTCATAGTTGTATAGGTTGCAGATCAGATGGTGTACCAGTCACTAGGACTAATTGTTTCCATGAATCTTTGGTTTTCTTCATTCTTCTTTGCTCTGGACAAGGAGAGACCCATAATTGCATCTAGATGGCTGCTTGCAAGCTTTTCAGATCCCAGTCGCTACTTGCCAAAGTGGGAGGTGGAACAATGTTTTGTTTAGTATGTTATGCCAATTGAGTTTGATATCCCCTGCAACTATGGTCCCAAGCCCGCAGGTTCAACTACTCAGGACCTCTGGGTAGCTGGCTGTCACCAAGAAATAACTATAGCCTTGTCCCTTGTCAACTCTACTATACACCTGGGAATTCTTATAGATCATACACATACACTGACAGGACCATTGTCTGCCAATCCTATACATGGTCTTGGTTACACTCCCCGCTTTTTAGACATTCAGCCCATCCACACATCTATCCACCTGTATATCCATGTTAGGTCAGTGATTCTTAACTAGGTCGGATTTGCCCCCCAGGAAACATTTGACAATGACTAGAAATATTTTAGTTGTCACAGCTGGAGGAAGGGTGCTACTGGCATCTAGTGTGTAGAGGCCAGGGATACTGTTAAACATCCTACAATGCACAGAGCTGACCCAACAATAAAAAATGATCCAATCCAAAATGTCAATATTGACAACGTTGAAAAACTCTGTAGTGCGTTAAGTCTTCTATATAAGGTCAAACGTGATATGTTTCTTTATAAGTCAGTGCCAGTCTCGCTCCTTAAAGCTGACCTATTTCCCTCTATCAGATAGCAAAAACTCTATAGCTCACTAGTTAGCTATAGTCTTCCCTTTCTTCTCCAGTAGCAGTAACTATGTAAGCCCTTGTGCTTGCCGCTTTTCATGACTGATTTTCTACTTCTGTTGTAACCTTATTGTACACATGTCTTTTATTAATATAGCAGATTCTCTTTAGAAATAGGAAAGGGGTAAATGGTTGGATGTTTGGGTGGTGGGTGGGTGGATGGATGGATGGATGGACAGATGAAAGGCAAAAGGAAGTAAAAGAAAAGAAGGAGGAAATTTTCCTTTTGAAATGGAAAATACTGAAAACAACTGGGTGGATGCCAGCATTGCTTTTAAAAGCTTTATATGGAATACATTTAAGTAAAATGTTTTTACTTTCAGAGAAAAAATGATCCCTATGCTCTTGCATCCCTGGTGTCCTTTGAAGTTAAGAAGATGCCTTATAAAGATCAGCCAGCAAAACTCCCACAAGGAAACATAGCAGTGAGTATCTTTAATATATATATAGGCCAAATAATTAAGTTGAAATGATTTTTTTTAATCACTGTTCAACTCATGCTGGATGTGTTTACACTGACTTGAGAAGTTTCCCTCTTCAAAACACTGTTTTCATATTTTAGTCTGGAAATTCCCTAGAGCTGATTTTTAAACTTTCCATATAAATTTCCATCCAAAAAATTACAGGATAAGACTAATGCCATTTTTTAATCAAGCCATTTGAAATCCAGATAGCAATGATTGTTATAATGAAATCATACTGAATTCTTATAATTTTAAAGACAGTGTTCTGAGTCAAATGGGAAGGGAAAAAGAGCCTCTTCCTTGGGGAAAATCCACCTAGGACCAGGTATGTAACCTTGGCCAATCATTTTTCCTTTCTATGCAAAGAACCCTAATTTCCTGGAAAAAAGATTGCACTGTGAGCTACATTTGCATTAATTTTTTCTTATGAAGCTATTAGATGTTGTTGTGTTAGTTGCTATGGAGTTGGTACCAACTTATGGTGACCCCATGTGTGCCAAATAGAAGTACATCATAGTGTTTTCAAGGCTTTCAAAAGCAGATTGCCAAGCCTATCTTCCAAGGTGCCGTTGTTAAAATCAAACACAGACTGTTTGCACCACCCAGGACTCTATTATTAGATGTTAAAAAAATAAAGCAAACTCAAGTCAGTCCCAACTCATAGTGACCCCTCCTTGGGTTTCTGAGGCAGTATCTCTATGGAAGTAGATTGCCAGTCTTCCTTCCAAGGAGTGGCTGGTAGGTTTGAACCACTAGCCTTCTGATTAGAACTCAAATGCCTTAGGGACTATGCCACCAAAGCTCCCATTATCACTCTAGGTAAGAAGGACCTGGGACAAGAGTTCACATTGTTGTTGCTGTTGTTATATGCCCTCGAGTCAGCCCCAACTCATAGCGACCCCTCCTTGGGTTGCCGAGGCACTACCACTACGGAAGTAGATTGCCCAACCTTCCTTCCGAGGAGTAGCTGGTGGGTTTGAACCTCCAGCCTTCTGGTTAGCAGTCAAGTGCCTCAGGCACTATGCTACCAGAGCTCTCAAAGTTCACATTAGAGATTATAAATATCTGTTGAATGACCAAAAGATGAATGCTTGAATCTTACTGCTTTCCAGAGTTCTAGCTCTGATCATGTTCACATACAACTTTAAAGGCAGAGTTTTGGTAACAGTGCTTGCTTATCCACTTTCATTCACTCCTTGTTTCTCTCTGCATGGCCATGCCAGGTTGCTGACGATGACAGAGATTGTGCTGTCACAGACATTTGGGTGTCAGTAACATCTAATAATATTATTAGTAGTAATATTAAGGTTCAAGCATTCATCTTTTGGTCATTGAACAGATATTTACAGTCTCTAACATGAACTCAGGAGCTCTGGTGGTGTAGTGCCTAAGGCATTTGACTGCTAACCAGAAGGCTGGCAGTTCAAACCCACCAGCCACTCCTTGAAAGAAAGACTGGGCAATCTACTTCCATAGAGATACTGCCTCGGAAACTCAGGGAGGGGTCGTTGTGAGTCTAGACCGACTTGAGGGCAGTGAGTGAGTAATGTGAACTCTTGTCCCAGGTCCTTGTTACTTAGAGTGTATTTTGCAGATCAGGAGCATCAACATCACCTGGGAGGCTGTTAGAAGCATAGACTCAGGAAACACTCCAGACCTACTGAGTCAGAATTTGTGTCTTAAAAAGTTCTCAGATGATCCATATGCACAGTAAAGTTTGGGAAACACTGCTTTAAATGGTATATAAGTGATTACTATCAGCCTCAAAACCAAAAACCAAAAACCAAACTAACTGCTGTTGAGTCAGATCCAACTTGCAGCAACCCCTCCTTGAGTTTCCAAGGCAGTAGTGTCACTACAGAAGTAGATTGCCCAACCTTCCTTCCGAGGAGTGGCTGGTGGGTTTGAAGCCCCACCCTTCTGGTTAGCAGTCAAATGCCTTAGGCACTATGCCACCAGAGTTCCCCTTATCAGCCTAATTCTTAAAAATTAGTTGTTAATTTTTAATCTATCTCACCTAATCTAAGGAGCTCTGGTGGCACAACGATTAAAGCCCTAGGCTGCTAACTAAACAGTCGGCACTTTGAACACACCAGCTGCTTCATGGAAGAAAAGACCTGGCAGTCTGCTCCTATAAAGATTATAGCCTAGGAAACCCTATGGGGCAGTTCTACTGTATCCTATAGAGTCACTGTGAGTCAAAATCAACTCAGCAAGAAGGGTTTATAGGGGTAGGGCCCTGGCACTGTGTTTAAAAGCTCTGATTCTGAAGTGAAGCCAGCATTGAGAATCTCTGGCATAGGTAGGTGGCACAGAGGAAAGTTCAAGGCAGGGTCCCAAGGAGGAACAGATTACCTGGGCTTCATCCTGGCTCAGTCTGGCTCCCACTATGAGGCCTTGGGGAAGTCACTTTACTTCCTTGAGGCTGCTTATGTACATCTGATGAATTGTCAGGATTAATAAATTTATGTCTATAAAGCCCTGGTGTTATACCTGAAACAAGGTATGTCTCAATAAATTTTAGCAACCTTCTCAAAATATCTTACATTCTTTAGCTAAATCACATACACCCAAATTGGAAATGGCAATTAAAATTTACGTGGTCAAAATATTTCAGTAAATCTTGGTGGTATTTTAAAGTAAGTGCTGCCACATCTTTCTTCATTTAGATCACCACTCTTTCTCTCATGAGATGTCTGCTGTAGTTTGGATTTATGTTCAACTTAGAAAACAGAGGCTTGGGTTTTTAATATAGAGCGTTCGTCCAAAGAGGTTCAAAGACTTGTAGTTCTAAGGGAGATAAATCTAGGCCTTTTTTGTTTTCTCTGAGCATGTGTTCCATAACAGAAACACATGTTAGCATTGATTCCGTCAACAGTATTGCATCTTTCTGTGCTGGCCACAGGTGACAGCCTGATGTTCTCCACTCATCTCAAAAGATCCACGAAATGATCACATACATGCTTCCCCACCCCCTCACCCCTTTACTGTATTAGAAAAATGAAGAAAGAAGTCTTGTTATCTGATGTTGATGATTTACCACACATTTATGTAAAGGTTAGTGGAAAAACGTTTAGGAATGAAGGTGCTTTCAAGACTCCCAATGGTGGCTAACTAGAGATCTTACCAGTATAAAGTTATATAATATGTGAAATCGGTCTTGCTGTAGCTTGATTTGAGTGCTGGCAGGCGTATTCAATAGTGATTTGTTCTCAAGGTCTTGTCATTTATATCTTGTGAAAAGAGTCCGGGAGAAGGGGAAATTAAGGTCTAGAATCAGTTGGAATAGGTAGTTTGAGAATCATCAGAGCTCCAATCCATACTTTGCAAATGGTGAAAACGTCTCAGTTCCTTCTTAATAAGATTTATTTGTCTTCCTAGTAAGAGATCCTGTGTGTGGGATGATTAGTTTGTTTGTATTTCCTTTTCAGAGTGGTCATGATTCAACCATATCTTGAGGCGTACATAAGCCTTGCATATTGAAGAAAATAGCAACCCTCATCTGTTATTTGCACACTATTTGTGTTTGTAACAAATGAATTCCTCATGCAACGTGACGCATGTCATGTTCCGAGGTGAGGGAAAGGTTGCACAATGCAAAGGAGTATGACTAAATATTTAATCATTACAGCCCAGCCCCCTCCCCCCAAAAAAAGAGTTATTGAGTTCATTGAACACTTTCTTTGACTCACTAATGAATTTTGGCATTTATATGCCATGCAACTAAACATTACTTAAAGTACATCTAGAGGAGAGTATTATTGTCTGGTTTAATTCCAAAGGTGGTTATTATAAAATATTTCATGAAAATCCTTGTTTAAAAGCTCACCCGTAAACTGTGTATTCATTTGGTTTTGAAACTTGTTAGCTCTGATTCAGTACCTTAAAATGTAATAATGCATGTATTAAACAATTGTTTAGAGTTCAAACTTATGGTAGGGACTACTTGTTTCTCAGTGGCTATTTAAATGTTAACAAAATGTGTGTTCAGCTGGTCCATTTTAAGTTATGATTTTGTTCAAAATGGTACTATAGGTAAGTTGTCTTGGTATATTTATTTTAAACATTCTTGTGACCCCAATGAAGTATGTTTACACAAGATTTTGTGATATATAAATACAAATGTCAACATTAATTATGGTTGCAAATACAAGGGAGCTTTTTCCTTTTACCTTGGTACTTGGTCAAAATATACAAAAACATATCATAAATGTCAATGATAAAATGTAGGCATATTAAAGGTTTATTTATGGTCTTTCAACTTAATAAAGAACAATAAGATTTATGGCATGATGTAGGTAAGATTAGATTTCCCTTTCTTAGTATCACTTTAAGAAAATCTAAACCATTTACAAGGAACCATGGAGGCTAAGTAGTTAAGCACTTGGCTGCTAACCAAAAGGTCGGCAGTTCTAACCCATCGAACCCACCAGCCATTCCACAGAAGAAAGATGTGGCAATCTGCTTCAGTAGACTTACAGCCTTGGAAACCCTATTCTGTCCTACAAGGTTGCTATGAGTTGAAATTGACTCAACAGCAATGGGTAAACCATTTATAATTTGTGAGTCCCACCTTCTAAACTTGCAAATAATAATACCAAGTAAATTGTTAAAATTTTTACACTATTTCTTTAGTTATCTATAATTCTTGACAAATAAAAATAAAAGTTTAGTAGTTGGTAGCAATTTCATTTTTCTCCCTAAGTTTTAAATAGTTATTCAACAGTAACTTTCTTTCTTAAAGCAGTTGAAATATCTAATCACATCAAGCTGAGTTCTTAAAATAAACCTTTATTCTTAAATCCACTCTATCTTCTGCCTTGGGCCCACCTTATGGGTGCAAGAATCTTAAAATAAGGGACTTTGACAATTATACAGAATGCTCTAGAGTTCATCTGTTCAGTATGGTTGCTATAAAGCCACATGTGGACATTGAGTATGTGAAATGGGGCTAGTGTAAC